TGTCATGTTAAAGTCTTACATAGACCATTGAAGGATATTCGGTGGCTGCTGCAAACCTCCAGTAGGGTCCAGAATTGGAATCAACTCATCAGTCTCTTGTGCGCTCCTTGGGATGCGATGTGTTACTTGACATTTTCATTAAGGATCTAGAAGACTTCTGTCAGGCTGTCCCTTCTGCCAGGGTCTCCCTTGGTTGAGTGAAATGTTGTCAGCCCTGCCTTTCTTCCTGGCCTTCTTCATAGCACAAGCAATCGAAACCAGAGCCAAATTTCCAGAACATGGAATCCGCTTCCAACCTGGCAGTCCTTCCGTCTAGCTTACTGCAGCAGATGGTTTTCTTACTGAGGTCAATAAACCTTTTTTTCCACATAATTATTACTTGAATTTGAATATGATGACTCTAGTTCTTAATAGTTAAGTACACTATATATACTATATAGTCAATTTAGATGAACAGGGCTTTTTATTTTTAGAGAAGAGAGATCTTAAGAAATGGCTATTTTATTATGTCAGCCTTTGTTTACTGAAATCTTTGCAGAATTCAGGGTTATATCGGTTTGCTAGGGCAACCATTACAAACAGGTAAGTGTCCAAAATGACAGAAATTTATTATCCAGTGCTGGATGCTGGAAATCTGAAGAAGGCTAGAAGTCAAGGTGGGGCAGGGCTGCCTCCTCCTACAGACTTGAGGAAGCAGCCTCTCCTTCTGACTTGCGGCCACTGTTCCCTGTTTTCCCTCTATGTGTATCTGTCTCTATGTCTGAATTTCCCTCTTTTTTTGTGGACACCAGTCATGTTGGACTAGGGGCCCACCCTACTCTGGTGTGACCTCTCCTTATTACATCAGCATTGACCCTATTTGCAAATAAGGTCACAATCCGAGGGACTGTGGGGGTTAGAACATTGGCACATGAATTTGCAGGGGACATAATTCAACTACAGAATGCAATATTGCTGTAAGAAGTTTCTAACACAGTCTAAGAGGGAAAACGAGTGTATTTTACTTTTCATGCAAAGGGATAAACTAAAGAGGAGTGAATTAATGTATTTTAAGGTGGTGGAATGCCCCAAGAGTTGAAAGTCATGCAAAAAAAAAGAAAAAAACAACAACAACAAAAAAAAACTATAAAATCTCTCCACCAAGAACATCAGACATCATCTTTGTGGCAGTGTGTCTTTGAACCAGGAAGTGCTCTCTAGACGAATAGGCCGTTTATCTTAGAAGTAGCCCCGAGAGAAGAGGGTCTTTCTTACTGTTGCCCACGTGGTAACACTGCTGATTATTTTTCTTCTATGTATGTAAAGACTAATTATGACTATGCTAGAAGTAAATGTCATCCTTGTCACCTTTTTCCTTCATGGTAGAGGACAAATTAAAAAAAAAAAATGTTAGTATGTAAGCTGAATGCTTTCTCGAATTCCTTGGCTTATGTCCACATTGTGTGCTTATTATCTTTAATTTAAAAGTCTGCTGAACTAGATGTGGGGCACCCTAGATTTTCCTGTGTTCTTCTTGACTAGGTACCTAACTCATGGGAATCACAAGAAGGGATGGGCACTTTCATTTTCCTGTGGGCTCTGCTCCCAGGCCACATTTGAGTGGTCTGGGTTAGGTAATATTGGGAAATGCAGTTGCACACCAAGCCTCTGTGTAGCTCCTGTGTGGAGGCCAGCAAGAACTTAACCTTGGATGCTTCCACAGCACAACTCCTGGCTAATTCACATTCTTCTGTTCCTTCCCCATATTTCAGCAAATTGATGGAGAAGCATTTCTACTCATGACTCAAACGGACATTGTTAAAATCATGAGCATTAAGCTGGGCCCTGCTCTCAAAATTTTCAATTCTATTCTGATGTTCAAAGCTGCAGAGAAGAATTCTCACAATGAACTTTGAAGATGGTGGATTCTGAGTACCATCAGCTTTCTGCTTTAAAGCTCATGTTTTATTCAAAGCACAAGGACGGATATAACTCCTAAGCGAGAAGTCTCGAAAACTCAAAAGAGCAACACTATCTGATATTTATATTCCTCAAGAGACAATATATATGAATTCTTAGGAAAGTGCTTGAGCTTTTAACCAGGTACTGTCTAACAACAGTCATCTTTTGGTTCTGTTCACTGAGCTAAATTTATCTTTGTAAATCTTTTTGAGGCTGGGGGGTGGGGGAAAGGGGGACCTCATTAATTATTTATGGTAAGGGGGGGGCAGAGTAAGAACTTTGGCATTTTGTAAACATTGTTGAATTCTCTTTCATGTACACTTTTTTCTTTTTCAGTACTTTCAGAAACCTTTTTATATAATTGAATTTCAACTTATACCAAATTAGTCAAAACCTGGCTGAGTCTAGCCAGTGGGACTGTTACCTGTATTGTTCATTTGTGCCATATTTTAAATTGCAACATGATGCTAAGTATAACTTTGCAAGTCATGGTATTGCCTAACTGCTTGTTATCATTTGTTGGGGCCGAAGAGTTGTAAAAATTACTTTTCTTCAAATCAGTGTTTTTACTTTTGCACGCATTATGTGAAATCTTAAACAAATTACTTTTCACCAGCATCTTTACTATAATTACCAAAAACATGTATATAAAAGAATGGAATTGAAAAATAAAATATATAAACATAAATAAATTAGGTAGCATATCTGAGTGGCATCAGTCTCATACATCGTGGTGCCTGTGTTGTTTACGAGAGTCAGATGGTACCAGAGGARTGTGTGGTTACATTGCAGTGGGGGGCTGTTTGTAGGGCTCTTGAACTGTTTATGAGATTATCTTGAGCTTTTCTCTAATTGTCATTGAAGTAGCTTTTCAGCAATGAAAGGCTCATTCTGTTGGTGGAAACACTAATCCATGAAGAGCTGTCTCCAGTCTTGAGGTGTCCTCCAAACCCAAAGACTTTCTTCATGTTGGCTGAAGAACGAGTGTCTAGGTTTTATATTGCAGGCCTGGAGTGAGGGAGCCGCACCTTCAGACACAAATGTCTGTGCTCATAGGTCAGGGAGGTGAATCCCAAAGCAGTCATTCAAGAACCTCCCTTCTGGAAGGATTCCCCTTTCTGTAAAATACTTTGCCTCACTATCTGAGCATTCGGATGCACTTTAAATGAAAACCCTTGATTATCTATAAACTGATAGTTGGCAGTGTTTCTTTTGTAAGAATGCATTTCTAAGGGAAAAAGTAAATTATTTTGTCAGTCTTTCGATGTACTTTTGAATTCCAGGATTAGACATTTATTCAAGGACTATTTTAAAAATAGAAAGTAAGTTTGTAGCATGCTGTCTGAATTCTGATGAAAGTCCCACCCCTTTCCTTAGTTGCTCTCATTTTTTTTTTCCTGATGTAGAACTTCCTTTAATGTGCTCTGTTGGGATCTGTTAGCAGTCCTTTGCATTTGTCATGATTTAAGGTAAAAGAGGGTCAGTGACATCTGTAGTGTCCCATTCATTTCTTTGCATGAATCTGATAAATAAGTTTTCGTTGTTGGTTTTCCCCCTTTTTTATGTTCTGTTCAGAATCTGTACATTCAAGTTGCACTTGTTATACCTGATATAAATGAAATAAAGTCTTAATTACAGATACTTTTTTATACATGTATGATTTTTAAGGAAGCTTGCCACACAGGAGAGGTAGAACAGGATCAGGGACAACATCAAGCATAAGGGTTGTTGAGACAGCCATGTAGGGGCCGGGAGGTAGCTCAGAGGTTGAGTGCTTGCCCGGCAACATGAGGCCCTAGGTTTGGTCCTCAAGACCACAAAAAGGAAGACATGAAAAAGGGCATCTATCTAATAAATCTCTAGGATTAGGATTTAGTATGGTTTGTCAAACTATGTCCCAAGATATGATGAGCAATAACAACAAAAAAAATTTTAAAATTACGTGGTTTTGTCAAGTAGGACTTTTACACATCAGAAATTTTTCATTTCTAGTTTAAAGTGTATGTTGTAATGAGATTTCTAAATCATACTTAACACATCCAGTCTAGACAGTGTGCCATTGTATGGTAGAGGCAAGGCATATGCATCATTAGGGTGGTACAAGATTCCATGGAAATCTCAGCACTCTATCCCTGAGGGTGTAAACTCAAGGCCAATCTATGCAACTTATGATATCCTCTATGAAAATTTAAAAAAAAATTAAAGAGCTGGGGATGTAGCTCAGTGGTATAGAACCCCTGGGTTCAGTCTGTAGTACTGCAGAATTGCAAACAAACTAGTTTTGTAGCTTTTCCCTGTGTAATGTTTTAAAAAAAAGTAAGACTACACTGAGTCTTTTTAGACCCAAGCAAGAGTTCTTGTGCCACCACTGTTGAGAGCAGAGTTCTCATGTGGGACTCTGGGCAGTGGAGAGTGGGCATGCAGCACTACTCCCTTGGGAAGGAAGCAGTAAAAGGTGGACACAGGACACAGCAGAAGCTTGGCCAGCAGGATCAGCTGGCAATGCGAGACCTCAGTACTACGGTACCTTTGCTCTCAATAAGTGAGTGAAGGAAACCAGCTGCTTGGAACCAGACAAATCATCAGGGTAAGAGAACTACAGGTATGTGCCCCTTAAAATGTTCAAGTTCAGGATGTTTACAAGTCAGACCAAAGACAGGGAGGCTGCCCACAGGCCATAAATGTGCAGCTGAAAATTGGGCACATCAAATTATGTGCAAGGCCATATCCTAACTGGAAGGATTTGAGTTTGCCTGAAGTGCAGAGTATCATTTTTAAACACTAAGGAGGGTACCCTTGAAAGTAAAGCTTTGACCATGGAAATTTTAAAAACACAAATCAAAATAAAGAAAGAATGCGTTAATTGCTTCAGTAGTATTTATTACAGAATTTCGCAAAGAACTTAAGTTTGAGTGTAAAGATTGAAGGCATTTAAATTCATTAATATCTTTGATTTTATAGATGATATTATAATTCTACCTCTACCAGAATCCTAAATCAAAACAATTTTTTATAAAGCTTGTCCCAGAGATAAATTCTGATACAATATTTAATAGCTGTTAAGTAACTGGGGGCTGAAATCCTACTTCCCTTTCCTTTTTTTTCAAAGAAGGGAAACAGGAATTATGCGTATCAAAGATCAGTGTCTCTAGGAAGTTGAGGGTTTGGGACAGTCTTCTTGGACACTCAATCCCAAATACATGAAAGGTAGCTACTAGAGCCGCCACGGCTGTCACACAGTCATCCACCTTTGTGAGCTTCTCTTTGTCTAAATATAAAGAAAACTCACAGACATCGATGTTGAAAGGGTTTTTAACTTCTAACACAGGCGTGGACACTTGAACCTGTAAAAAAGAACAGAGTCACTACCCCATGATGGATAAAGTAGCTAAATAATCAAACATGCCTGAACTGAACCATAAAATCACAATGAATGAGCTTGTTAAAATGTAGCATATCTACAAATATGACAAAACAGACTTCCAAGTGGACCATTGTGGTGCTTTTAAATAAATTGCCATATGGAGGTGTAGAATGGCAAACCAGTGGCCATTCACACACGTACCTTCTCATTCACAACTGCAAAGAGGCTGGGATCATCCCCAAAAACATCTGGGAGGAGTAAACATGTGGCTGTCATCTTCATATCTGTCAGAGCAAACATGTTGGTATGTGAGTAAAAATAGGTTTCCGACAGTTGTAAACAGAGCTGGTGTTAAAACATCTGGACTCTTAGGTTCCACAGAGAACAAGCTAGCCTTAGAGGAATGCTTCACAACCTTTTATTTAAGTCAACATGTAATAAACCTGGAGACCTCATGGTTTGCTTTCCAGGTAACTGCCAGAAGAGACAAATTCTGTACCCTGCAGCTTTCAGGATAAGCTTGTAGAATTTGTGATTTGTATAATAAAACTAACAGGTTACTAGTTCCCCCAACGTAATTTCACAGTATTGAGTGTACTTTTTAAATCCATACCTCCATTTTTCCCCATTTGAAAAATTGTTTTTTCCCCCACATCAGTGTTTCATTGAATTGTACTTATTACCAAAGCAGAGCTTTCCTAATTATCCTGCATTACACAGATAACAGAGACCGGCTCACCCCACCCCAGGTTTACTAACACTTCAACATATCTTCATCTGTGTACTCTTTCATTTTTTCTTGCAATGCAATATTGATTGGATTGTCCACAACTGAAAAAGCAGTCAGTATTTTTTCTGAATAGGATTCCAAAATGTGCCTTGTTTTCTTATAAATATCTGTTCTTGTAAGAAGTTGGAATTCTCTGAATATCTGATAAAAGAAGAAAGCAATATCAGATCATAAGAAAAGCACACACACACACATATACTTCCATGTGTCTGTCTCTCTCTCTCTCTCTCTCTCTCTCTCTCTCTCTCTCTCTCTCTATATATATATATATATATATATATATATATACATATGTTATGTAAGGAAGTAAATAACTTTAGAGTTAAGCTTTGAATGCTGATTTAAAATACATACTAATTATTTTAGTAGCTTTGGTATGGAAGCAAATACTTAAGATGAGGGAGGAGAAAAAAAATGAAAGCCTAAAATAAATAAGAAAAGATAAATAATGGACATGACAAAATTCTAAACCTATAGAATTAAAGCTTTGGGGAACACTTATTTTATGGAATGACGGGTTTTCCATTTCTAGAATTGAAAGTAAAATTATTTAAGAATTAAAACTTTGCCAGGCATGGGGTACATGCCTGTAATCCCAGCAGCTTGGGAGGCTGAGACTGGAGAAAAGTGAGTTCAAAGCCAGGCTCAGCAACTGCAAGTTGCTAAGCAAATGAGTGAGACCCTGTCTCTAAATAAAATACAATATAGGGCTGAGGATGTGACTCAGTGGTCAAGTGCCCCTGATTTCAATCCCTGATACAAAAAAAAAAAAAAAGTATTAGATGCAGCGCCAATGAAATGATGAGGATTCCAAAGTATGTATGTTGGCTCCTGGGTTACCCAGCTAGGATTCTAGGACCTTACATTTCTCTAGGTAAATACCATTGTTATGTTTTGGCAGTGTCCAACAAGAGGCAAAAGAAGAAAACTTCTGGACTTTGGAAGCAACCCTTGGAAAGCTCCTAACCATAGCATCTTAAAGGGGGAGGGAGTACTTTCTAGGTTGGAAGATCAGAGATCTTCCAATTTAAGTCAAAGCAATTTAAGTGCAGAAGATTAGACTACAAAGTCAAAGCAAAGCCAGTTTGCCTTTATGGAAGCTCCTTTTTCTGGAATCCACCTTTTGTTTCCATTTCCTAAATTCTATCCCTCAGAGAATTCCACCACCACTGCCCCCTCACTCTTTTTGTTGATATTAGTAACATTGTTGACATTTTTTGTTGCCATTGAGTAACATTATTCAGATCATTAGCTATCTACATTACTATGCATTAATTTAATCCTTGTCTTCCTTAAAACTGTAAAGAACAGTTTATGCACTGTTCATTGGGCCTCACTGTTGCTTGGGTATTTTGGTAGGTCACAAGATGCCCCAGGAAGGCAGGGAAAGGGGATACTGGGGAAAGAAATCGACCAAAATACATTGTTGTATTATATGCATGTACAAATAAGTAACAAGAAATCCCACTATTATGTATAATTATAATGCACTAATAAAAAATGGAAAGTAAGTAAATTGCCCAAAGATTAGGTCTGAAAGTTGTCAGAAGGCTGGAATGCACTTTCTTGTAGAGGCCCATGGTGCGGGTATGCGGCTGCCCAGTGAACCGCTAATCTAGATTAATACCCTTAGAAAATGGTTCTCTCAGCAAGCAGACAGAAGTAAAAAAGCATTCTACCTGAAGAAGGTAGAAAATGCCACTTCCTTGGGCCCAAGGCCTAGGAGGGTTTTTTGTTTGTTTGTTTTTTAACCATGTTGAAATAATTTCAACTTCACATTAAAGTAGAAGAAATAATAGAAGCTCACAAATGTTTTTCATGTAAATTGCCCCAATTTCTGATCCACTTGAAAAAAAAAGCTGTAGACATGCCCTCCTCCCATATCCCTTGTTTTAGTCAGCTATTTTGCTGCTGTGACTAAAAGGGCCCAACCAGAACAATTGTAGAGGAGGAAAAATTTATTTGGGGGCTCATGGTTTCAGAATCTCAAACCATAAACAGCAGACCCCACTCCTCAGTGCTCAAGGTGAGGCTGATCGTCATGGCAGAAGAGTGTTGCAGAGAGAGGCAGCTCATATGATGACCAGGAAGCAGAGAGAGAGACTCTACTTGCCAGATACGAACATATACCCCAAAGCTATGCCCCCGATGCCCTACCTCCTCCAGCCACACCACACCCGCCTTCAGGCACCACTTAATAATCCCATCAGGTGATGATTTCACTGATTGGGTTAAGGCCGTCATAACCCAATTTTTTCTTCTCTGAACCTTCTTGCACTGTCTCACACATGAACTTTTGGGGGACACCACATCCAAACCATACCTCTCCTTAAATACAAGGTCACTCAAAATCTAATCTATAGGTCTCAAATTATCCAGYTGCTCCAATCTTGTTTTTTATGGCCCAGGATCTAATTCAGGATCACAGGTGAGATTTAGTTCCTTTACTCTCTTCATTCTCTAGTCTGAAACAGCTTGATATCCCTGGCATTTTTTAAAGCAGTGGCTAATCACTTTGTAGGACATCTCTCAATTTAGGTTTACATGATATTTCTTCATGATTTATGCATATGGAGCAAAAATGCCAGCGTTTCTCACTGGGTCAGCAAGTACAAGGTGGCAATCAGTTCTAGTGTTGGAGATATTAACCTTTATTGCTTAGCTGAGATGGAATCTGCCAAGTTTGTCCTCTGTAAAGTTGATTTACATGTTGTAATATTTTGGGGGGAAATATCTTGARTTTAGGTACTCAGCATCCATTGATGATTCTGGCTTCTGTCAGCTGTCACTATGTCTACTGCCAAATGGCAATTTTCTTATTCTACCCTATCTAAATTTATTAGTGGTTTCTATTGTAGGGTAGAACTTTCCTTTCTTCTACACTTATTTACTTACATATTTGTTTATGTCACTATTGACTAATAAATTACCATCAAATGATTTCAAATCTGAACCTTAAATTATTTATATTTTGTTGTCTCATGTTGTCTAGGTTTGGCCAGTGGGGAGCTGGTTTAAGCTGATTCCTGTGTACTCTTCTTGTATATTTCACTAGTCCGTGAACACATCCTTAATTTCTAGCTCTTTTCAGGCTCACCTTGGTTTTTGTTTGTTTGTTTGTTTGTTGGGTTTTTTTTCCTAAATTTTTTGCTCTTGCCTTTGAGTCACCCATTTCTCCAAGAGCCCTAGTTCCTTTTATTGAAGAATAAATAAACTAATATTAGCATTTAGAAACTAAAATTTCAGCTCTAGATGTACTCCTTACTACAAAGGTGGTGTTACACTAGAATTTCTTATAGCACAAAACTAGCAAATATATTTTTATATATATTGCAAAAGTTGTCAGAACCAAAATGGAGTCACATGTGTCAAATGCTAAAAAATAACTAAATAAATAAAACCAATAGCTGAGAAAAAAGGACTCACATGCATGTATGCCAGATAACAAAAAGTATCACAAAACGCCTCTGAGAACCACAACCTTGCTCAAAGGTCACACGACTTTACACAAAAATACTTCTGCAAGAACATCTGTCCAACAGCTACCTCTCCAACCTCCGACTGACCCCAACTTTGATATGGATCCTTGGTAGCCAGTGATTATTGTTTCAAAAACAACCTATGCAATCCTACTCATGTTGCTTTTATAATATTCTTCTTGCGTTAATGTCCTTCAATACACAGGGTTTACCATTGCACATATACTTCTATCGCCATGCCCATTCTCAGATAAATTCATCATCTTTGGAGAATCTCCCTTTGTTATTTAGGTTGACAATCTATACAGATGCACACAGGGAAAAAACATACAAACATCTATACTGTATATGTACATATAAATAGTAAAAGCCATGAGGTTAGATACTTTCAATTCCAATCTAACACCTCAGGGCTTCCTCTAACCTTCCTTTTTTCCATACTTGTCAATTTTCAGTAGTGAAAAACCTGGCCCTCATTATCCTCAGTGTATTCACTTATTGGCACAAACCTCCCCCATGTCCATACAGCTAAACTCCCAGCTGTGAATGGCCTAGTGCAGAAAATCCTCCTTTTCTACCAGCTTTTGTCCCACAGGTTATAAATCTTAATCCTTTTTCATTACCAGATTGAATAATTTCTATTGATCTATCTTTAAATTCATAGACCCTTTCTTCTATGTGTTTTCTAATATACTATTAGGCCTATCCAGTAAAGAGTTTATTTCAGATAAATGCTATTTTTCATTCTAAATTTCAATTTGGTTCCTTTTTTCACATATTCAGTTTCTCTGTGAGATTCTCCATGGTGATGATGCCTAGAATTCACTGATTTTACCATGTTCCTGTACCCTTTAGTAACTGGCTTGACAGGACAAGCCTTTAAAGACTTGGCTGTGGCATCAGTTAAAGGGCAATACTTACAGGACTAGGACAGGTATCCAAATCAGCACCTAAAACATGGTGCTATTTCTTTCTTTTTTGGTGGTGCTGGGGATTGAACCCAGTGCCTTGTGCATGTGAGGCAAGCACTACCAACTGAGCTATATCCCCAGCCCAAATGTGGTGCTATTTCTTGCAAAGCCATGACTTCRGTCCCAGAATCGAGAGGTAACAATCAGAGTGGCACCACTCTCTACGCAGTGATCCACCATAGGGAGTTCGGATTAAATTGTGTTCTTTTAAAGGAGRCTAAATTTTGTTCTGGCAGGCAGATAAATTACCAGTTGTTTCTTCCGGTCCTGTCAGACTTGATTTTTATCATTCGTTTGGACAGGTCTATTTTGGGTTTTGTCCTTAGTCACAGGGCAACATTAAGCTTAGGGCATGATTATCACTCATAAGGCATGGACTTTTCTGCAGTGTCAAGTGTATGCCTGGGGGCTCAGCAATTCTCTCCACTCAAGGCAGAATTCTTATTTATCAACATCGTGTGACCTCTGAAATCAGCTTGCAATCTTGCAACAGACTTTCTCTGTAAAACACCATCGAGTCTCATCCTGTGCTGTCCAGTGCTCAGACGAAAACTCTGGGGGATCCCCGAATGGGCATCTATATACTCTCCTCCAAATCAAATACCAGCTGCTATTCATTCCCCAACTCCTTCCCATCCAGTTCAGCGAGGCCACCATCTTCTGCTTGGCTTCCACCTTTCTAGGCAGAGGTCCAGAAAGTGACCCTGCAGCAGAGAACTGACGTACATCTTCTGTGTTTTCCTTTTACCCAGGATTGGAATTCTGCAATGCCTGTTAACTGATGTCTGAAAGCAGMTGCCTCATCTATTGTTCTTCCAGTTTCATCCACATTTATGAGTCTAGTACTCCATTATAGCCAAAAGCAAAACTCAGTTAAAACTCCTTTGAAACTATTAGCATTCTTCTTATGTACTTCCCTTGGTTTGCTTTTGTTGTTGKTGKTGGTGGTGTTTTGTTTTGTTTGCTTTTTGAGACAGGGTCTCCTTCTTATGTTACCCAGGCTGGCCTCAAACTCATGGGGCTCAAGTCATCCTCCCACCTCAACCTCCCTCCAGTGTGATGGGAACACAGCCCGGTGCCACAGTGCCTGGCTTTCACTTAAGTTATTAGAGAAGATGACYGAAATAGCTTCTCCAGAAGATGAAAACTGTAGCATCTCCAAGTATTTGTTAGAAAATGTAGATRTTTAAATTTTGTTTAACACTCTCTTCAACCCCCTCCTACTGCCTTCTGCCACATCCAATAGGTCCCAGGAACAAATTCCAAGTTGATAATATTTTAGATAGTGTAATAAAGTGAATCTAAAAAAAATTTAATTTTTAAATTTTCTGTTGAAACTTTTTTTTTTTTTTTGAGGGAAGGAGGGTAGTACAGGAAGCAATGGAGGGTCAGTATTAACTGCCAGGACCACTTCCTCCTACCGATGCTGTCTTCCTCTGCACCTGTATCCACGACTCCCAAGCTCCATATGGTTCAAAATGGCATGGGGTGTGTGGAGCAGAGGATTGCTACAGGGATAGCTGATAGCAGGTATTTGTAAGTAAGGTCACCTTTAATTTTAGGAAACACAACAAGGGCTTTATATATTGCAAATGCCAATTATGCAGGGTTGAGTTAGAGCAATGCTTCCTGAAAGGAACTAAAAATGTTTTATTCTTTTGTTTAAAACWATATATWGATAGTCATTACCAAAACTGTCCCCCAATCCACATGTTGGACATAAAAGGTGAAAAGCCTAAGGAAATACGGAGGGAAAACATACCTAGGCTACAGCGAGAGACTTGGACAGAGCCCTAGATCTGTACTCTTTGCTTCTGGCTCAGCCGTGATGGGCCTTGGACTTCCTATCATCTGTGGCACTTTGAAAGGCTTCTTAACCATAATTCATCTATTTTAATCACTAAACCTCTGGTGGGCTGCTCTCCAGGGAAGAACCCGAGGCTGTGACATCAGTGTTCACAGCAACCTTTGCAACCACCAGCTAATTCCTTCAGAATCAAACAAACACTGCTGTGTCACACACAGGACTCTGCCAGGCACTTTAGGAACTATTGATATTCAAAACATGCTCCCTAGTTTGAAGACTTCATAAACCATCAGTTCATCAGGTTTGTGCTTTAAAATTATATTTTGCAGGTGTGTCGATCTGGCTAGTGGCTATTACTGTTCCTAGCAACCCAAAGATTCAGAAAAACAAACAAAACACAAAATAGGGTGGCTGATTAATAATTTAATTAACTTGCATAAAGCCCTAAGAACATATCTGCTGCTGAGTAAACACATAGATATTTGCTATTGACATTATTATTAAAATAATACTTTGGCAAATTCTTGTTTAGGGTTTTCTTTTTGAAAAAGAATATGTAAAATGTTTAATTTTCAGTGTGGTTGATTGAATTCTTCCATGAAATGTGTTTCTGGTAAAAGTTTTGATGAATCTTTCGTTAAAATAAATTAAAATGGTGGTGAATAACCTTGAATAACCACCCTAAGTAAATTCAATACAAAGGTATTAGAATTATCCATCAAGCTTCATGTGTTTTTAAGATCGCTTTATGAAATGATTCCTTTTCTCAGAATCTACTTTGTTGTGATCAATGTTGCATACTAAGAGTCTCTTAATAAATTATCTTAATTATCTAAAAGCATGCAAAGGGGAAATGATTCACACTGTCAAATATCCCTAGTAATGATCCCCCAACCTCCACAATAYGTCCAGGAAATTCTCCAGGCAGCTGGCGCCTATTATCTGAAGGAGCTTCCTGAAATTTCTGCCCATCAGTGGTCGCACATCCACCCTAAGTATCACATCCACTATCTTGTTATGTTGTGTCATTTACTATTCTAAGAGGAAAGAAGGGGAAATCAATTTGATGCTGTAATCAGAGATTGTTACAACCAAATAAGAATACCTGATAAGGGCACTTCAAGAAAGGAAACATTTTAAGAATGTCCTTCAGAGGTGTTCTGCTGCCAATCATCTTTCTTCTTACTTCCAAGGTCTGGTTCATCCTCTTGTCAATTTCTGTCCAATCCTTTTCTGTTTTCATATATTCTTGCTGAAACCAGTTAATATGTTCATCTACCTCAGAATCTAAACACGCAGATTCTTCCTGCAAAATATTTTCAAAATATCAATRAATCTCATGTTTCAAGTGGCAGGTGATACATCATGAAAACCTGAATTACAGACTGTTATTGCATGCCTTAATAATGTACTCCTAAAGGGAGCAAGACCATGTGTAATTATACTTGACCTTGAAYTTAGGTAACCAAGGGAGAGTTTTAATGAAAGCAATAGCTCATTAGTTACTTACCATGGAATTATAATCTGAGTTTTTGACAGACCTAAAAGTTTCTTTAATTTCCATTTACCCATTTATATGGAAATCTAGATTATCCAGAAAGTTCACATCTAACAGGGATATTGTTTATTTTAATGCATTTAAATTTTAGAAGACAAATGTTATGAAGAAATTTTAAAAACTGGTTTTTAAACTAAGRGTGTGTTATTGCTATTGCTTGTCTTTTTATTTTTAAATAACTTTTTGTAGCTGCAGAACCAGGCCATAAAATCCAAATTCAGAATAATATCAGCAAATTTTTTTGTGATGCTAAATAATCAAACTATGTTCATGCTATAATGAGTATACTGAGTGTGGTAGGAACAGCTAAGAAATACCTCACACATTCTTTTTGAAAATATAAGACAATCAGCTTTGAGTAAACTAGAAGAAAATCTTTTTAGAAAAATTAGTTGAGAGCAACTTGGCTGAACTGTACTTGAATGCAAGTTGACCAACTCCAAGCTGATCAGAATGTGAACAGTTGTTACCTGTAAATAAATGATGAAAAGATGATCAAGAGTTTAAAATGCTCTTACATCAAAAATTTTATAAGTATATTGGGAAAATGGCAGATAGATCTAATTTCTGTGAACTCAGGATGACTAGCAAGACATAGACCAAGAGAACAAATTCCTAGAAAAATATGATTTATCAGAACAGATGAAAATGAAATTCCTACAATCTTACATGAATTTAATTAGAAGACAAGGAAAATCCCAATGCCTAAAGGTTCTACAGATAAATTAATTCTACTTAACTTTGGAAACAGTGTTCCAAATTTATGCAGATTATTTCAGGAAATCAAGAAAGAAAAAAAAGAGAGGAAGGAAAAAAAAATGCTTTCCAACCCATTCCACTGATGCTTTTTTATTTTGGTAATGGGGATCAAACCCAGGACCTCACGTCTGCTAGGCAAGCACTCTACTACAGAGCTACACCCCAGACCCTCTGCACACCATTCTATAAAACCACAGTGATGTTGATCTTCAAGGTCAAAGAACAGAATGAGAGGAAAAGTACAGGTCATTCTCATTTATAAGCAAAGTTGCGATTACTAGGAACAACTAACTTGGTTTTATCCCTGAAATGCAATGTTGGTTTTGAGGTAGGATAGAAGAAATAATGTCGGTAGAAAGGAGACAAAAGGAAACCAAAGGAAGAAAGCTCTGTACTTGAGTTCCTCCCCAACCCAGGTCTCTCTCCCAGGCCTGTCACTCCCAAGTTTCTGGGAAATCTACACATCAGTACTCAGAGTCTTAAATTTACTAGAAAATAACTTATGAAAATTACCCTTTACACTGTTAATTAACCCACCGATACATGCATTTTTAGAATAAGTTGAGGAAAGGGAGATATGAACCTATAATATAGGGAACTTTCCCAGTGTTAATCTGTTAATCAGATAATGCAAAAGATATCAACCTAAGGATCCTGAAAACAGCCAGACCACTGTAAAGGGTCTTGTGACCACCAGCGTGATGTCATCCCCACATACCTTCCCATGCCCACTCCTCACCAAGTTTCAAAGAGCAGCCTGAGATCCCTAAAAGGACTTCTTCTTAAGATAGCCCACTTTCTCCCTTGAATGTGTACGTTCTGCTTTTCTTATATAGATCTCTTGTGTGCTGCAATATCTGAAGCATGCTGAAATTCTTTCCCATCATACATGTCAAGGATCCTGGTGTCTGGAGTTGAGGTTCTTTTCTTTCTGGTTCCCATGACAGTTCAACACTAGTAAGAGCACTCTATTCAACTAAAGAAAAATATGATTGTTTTACCCATTACATTTCACATGCTATCATTCTGCAATGTCAATTTAGGGACTACTGTTATAGAAGAGTTGGGGGTAGAAAAAAAGTAGGTTTTGAGAATATGGTATATGAAAAGCCGTGTGATTTTACTTGGATTATCTAAATATGTTTAAACATYATATATCATATTAACCAATAAGATGAAAAGAAGAAGCATCTTATAAAATTCAACATYCTTTTTTGATTAAAAAAACTTGTCAAGATAAAAAGAAAATCTTAAAACTGATAAAGTTATCTACCTAAAACTAGATCTAACATACTTTTTTTTTTGGGGGGGGGGTACCAGGGATTGAACTAAGGGGCACTAGACCATTGAGCCACATCCCCAGCCCTATTTTTGTATTTTATTTAGAGATAGGGTCTCACTGAGTTGCTTAGTGCCTCACAATTGCTGAGGCTGGCTTTGTACTGGAGATTCTCCTGTGTCAGCCTCCTAAGCCACTGGTATTACAGGCATGTGCCACTGTTCCCAGCCTATCATAATTTTTGATGGTGAAATTTTAAAAGGATTCTCTTAGAATCAAAAACAAGACAAAAGTTTCTCTCCTACRTTCTTATTCAACCTTATGATATGAGTATGCCAGAGTAGTAAAAGAAGAAATAAATGTAAGGTATAAAATTTGGAAAAGATAGAACAAAAATTGTCATCATTCAGAGATGATGTGATTGGGACTAGTGCTATATATAGCTCAGTGGTAGAGCATTTGCCTGTTGTGACTGAGGCCCTGTATTCATTCCCCAGCACCACAAAGAGAGGGAGGGATGATGTGGTRGTTTAAGATAAAACTCAAAATAATGCACACTTAATTTATTATAACTGAGAGTTCTCCAGAGTCATGGAATACAAATATACAAACAAASAAAATGTGATTTTTCACAATTACAAAATACACCTATAAGGTACCTAGAAATAAAACTAATGAATGATGTGTAAGACCTTTATGAAGAAAATTACAAAATTATTAGAAAATATTAATCAGATCTAAATAAGTGGATAGGTCTACCATGTTCACAGAAAGCAGCAATATCATAAAGAAATCACTATTTTCCAAATGGAGCTATAGATTKAACAAACTCTAGTTTCACTATCAAAAACCAAAAAAATTTTAAGAACATCATAAACTGATCCTAAAATTTATATGAAAGATTTGAAAGCTCAAGAGTAAAYAAGACCCTTCTAAAGAAGAATAACRCTATGATGGAATAACGCCATGATGGGAAGGTATCAAGACATTTTACAGCTATGCAGGTAAGGAAAGCTGGTATTCCTGTAGGGATATTAATAGTGCAACATGGCAGAGCTTCTGACTGAGCCAGGGAAACAACAAAGATGGCATCACTAATCCCTGAGGAAAAGAGGAATTGTTTTATAAAAAGTGCAAGGAATGTTTTATCCATGTGGGGAAAAGCTTCTTCATGGTTTAAGAACTTCAATGATAAGCAAAACTTGAAAGAAAAAAAAAGAAAAAAAGAAAATTTAAGAATGTGTCTTATCAGTTCAGGAAAGGATTTCCTAAAAACAGGAATCAACAGGAGAAATGACTGACAGATCTAACTACATTAAAACAACAAACTTATCTTTATCAATTACAGTTAGGATAATTGGCAAAGTAGTAAACTACAGAATTTATAAAAGATTCTTACAAATAAATAGAAAGAAGGGAAAGTTCATAGGCCAAAAATATAAAAAAGGAGAAAACAAATATTTCATAAATATAGAAAAAGATGATCSATTCATCCATAATAAAAATGAAAATCAGAACCAAATAGGATACCATTTTATTCCAAACTGGTTGGGGCAGGGAGAKAAATCTGATCATAACTAATGCTTCTCAGGGGTCTTAAATGGCCATAATCATCTGAGAACAATTTGGCCTTGTCTTACAAAGTTGAGTATTTGCTCACTTATGTGAGCAAGCACTTCCTAAGTACAAATCCTTGGAAAAAGCTTGCACAAATGCAGCAAGGCACATACTGCAGCAGCATGATCCATAACAGCCCAAACTGGAATGAATCAAATGTTGGTAGACAGGAAAAYGGCCACAGAAACTGTGGTTCCCTGTCACAGCAGATTATTAAGCCAAAGGGGAAATGAATAAACTCAGTTTAACTTAATAGCCTGGATGAATCTCAAATGCATTACATTGAAAAACAGCAAGTCATCAAACCTAACATGCRGTTTTCATATCTATTTGTAAACCTCCAATATAAGCCACACTCAAAGTGTGAATTCATGCATAGGTGACAAAATTATGTATTTAAAAAGTGGATGAATGATAAAACTCAGAGCAGTGACCACTTCTAGAGGCCAGTGATGTTGGAAAGGCAAGTAGTGAAGGGGGGAGGGAACACAGACTCACACAATGGTACATACAATCGGGGACCCAAATCCTAGTGTTCATTTTGTCTCATGAATTACATATATGCCACACATTATCAATTACTCTGTATATTTCAAATGCATAAAAYAMGAGTTTTTAAACACAAAGAAAATATTCTATTTGTTAAAAAATAAAAGAAACAATAAAAACTTTATATAAACAGTTTACCACTATGAAGTTAATGGAAATTCTGTAATTGCTCTATTGACATTTACTACATGTGTCACGTACTGCTTCCCTGTACCCCCTGTCTCGTCATGAAACTAAAGTTGTTGGGGAGTTTCTGCCTGATCAGACCTCTGGGATTAACACAATGTTCCTGGGTTGTGTTACAGATTAAAGAGCCCTTCATTATCAGAAGATTGTATCAGAATTCAAAATTCTCAAAATTCTCATTCTTCTAATGATTCATATATTATTAGATATATTATTAATGATTTATATATTACTAGAGCTAAAGGAATTTAGCAATTGGTTGGCTCATGCTCTCCCTTTACTCTGAACACATTCAGATCCTTAAAGGGGAAGTGAGTTTCCTAGACACAGAGATAACCAGGGATAGGGGTTCCTGAGT